AAATTTATTAACGTATTCGTATCAAACTAATTAATTAAAAAAATATATTAAAATTTAAATAATATTTAAAAAATTATTTTTATTTAAAGTATTATGATTTAATATATAAATTATAAGATAATGATCTATTCAATCTTATAATAAGAGTTAAAAATTTATTTTTTATTATCATCATTCATTTTTTTTAGTAATTTATTGATATAAAATAATAATTAATCTTAACCATTAGATCTTGAAATAAATTATTGTTAGAGACTTATTCTATATTTATTCTTAGAATAAGTGAATCCTTAATTAAATTATTTTATAATATATATATATATATATATATATATATATTAATAAAATAATATTATTTTTATTTAAAAATTTATTATTATTATAAAAAATGGACTAACCCATAGCCTATGGACTAGTCTTACCTAAGCCAATATAGGTCATAGCTTAATTAAACTAGGCAAAAATGGGTCTGATCCAATTTAAACCACAAATTTTTTGACCTAATTTGACTTATTTCTTGGGTCTTTTGATCAATCCATTAACTTATCTTACCTCAATTTTCTAGCCTTTGGTTCAATTACTTCAAAGGTCCTAAACTCACAAGAAGTTAAATCTTGCTCACAAAATCCAATTAAAAAATTGACCATACTCACAAATTAGTCAAGATCTATCTTATCCCACAAAATCCACATATAAGAACTATAGACTCATGTGCAAATCCTAGTCTTAATTTATAAAAATATTTTAAAATAGAGTAAATAGAATCTTACTCTCTTTGAAATTATAATCAAATAAATTTTATTTATTCTACTCCATAAAATTTATTTATTCTATTTCAAAAGGATTAAGACAAAAGGAGTAAGACGTGTTTAGATTTATAAAAACAGGAGAGAGTGAAAAATTAAAGAGAAATAAAAAAAATATTTGTAGAAAGATAAAATTAAAATGATTAATTTTTTTTATTTTTAAATTAATGGATACAATTTTAATCTTTATTCCTTTTAAACCGTTTATATCCTTTTCTCATTTCACAAATTATCCTTACATGTATATATGATAAAAATATTAAAATTCATTTGAATGTTAAGAGATAGAAACTGCGAAACTAATATCTATGCAAAGACTTCGGATTAAGTCAAATAATACTCCTTATTATGTAAACTTAGTTAATAAATTAATAATACACGTGAAACCGACCATGCTATTTTTCTTTTGAAATAACCGACCATAGTATTTTATGTATATTAGTAACTAAAATTCTGATGACTAAGATTAGAGATTTATTTAAATTCTAATTTAAAAATTAATTTAATTAAAATAATTTTGACTTAAATAGTTTTTGTATTTAAATTAATTAATATTTAATAAATATGTTGTGAGAAGAAAATGAGATTACAATATCACGTGTTCATGGTGGTGGAGTTTTTGAAGAAATTTATGGAAAAATTAGATTGAGAAGATCGATTAGAATGATATCATTATGTTTAAATGCTTATATACAACAATATTAGAGTTAGAAATTAAGTATATATTTATGTACCTTTTTAAATAATTCTATAATACCATTTTCTTTTTAGATGTTTTAGATTTTTTTTTTAATTTGAAAATGTTATGTATTTTTTATAATAGGTTCAAAATCAATTAAATAAAAGAATATGATATTGTCTTCAACTTAAAACCTTAAGTCATTAGGTTATTGATATTTCTTATTTATAAGTTACTCAACTTTCACATTTTATTTGATGTGAGACTTTAACACACCTGAATTCTTAATAATCTCCTGTTTAAGTATGATTTCCTTTCACAATAATATATCTCTCCTTTGAATGAGTACTTATTAGTGACCTTAATTAGTTGTACCATTATTTAACACAACGTAACTTGCTTACGTGAAATCCTTATTAGGAAAACTTTCAACATAAAAATTCATAATCTATAATCTTTTACCTACTTTAATAGTACTCAACCGAGTTGATCACCCGACAAATAATCAACTTTGATACTATTATTAGAGAAGAGTTAACAATAGAGAGATTATCAATAATGAATACAAATCAATCATATAAGAGAATATAACACATATTAAACTAAAAATCTTAAGTTATGTGAAATTTCAACTCACATCTTAACTCTTACTAATCTTCCCTTCAAATATAATTTACTTTCATATTAGTATACCTCTTTATATAAGACTGAACTCATTTAAACTCTCACAAAAAAAATAATTAATGTCAAATTATAACCAATTTTTTTTAAATTTGAATTTTGTTAATACAAAATTGAAATTAAAATTAATTAATTAAGTTTTTATACGATAATTAGTTAAATGGATAGATAATTTACATCAATACCATGACAAATTTCCTTTTCAAAATAAACTTTTTTTCTTTAAAAGGTAAAAAAAATCAAAATATTGACCTAATGTTTATATTTAAGAAGTTTAGTTATTGTATAATAATGATACTAGACTTTGTGAGAAAATATTAGATAAACAAGTACGTTAATTAAAGTAGGCCGCAGATAATTAATTAAATTACAAGTATATTATGCAAATTAAATAATAATTAGGCAAGTGATTGGTGCGGCGGTACCAAACCAAGCAAAGCAAGTACCGCAGTACTGAAAAAGCACAGCTTAGACAAAAAATTAAAATAAAATAAATATAAAAAGGGAGAGAGAGAAAGGTAACATCTAACAAACCCATTTCTCCACCTCACCCAACATGTGATGCACTTTTGAAAAAGTTCAACCTTCCAATCAATATGTATTCATTATTATATTATCAATTACCAATCTCAAACATAAATAATAATAGAAAATACATATTTTTTGAATTTCATCTTATATTATCTTATCGTTTAACAGTAAAAGATTAATTTAATAATATTACATTGTTACTTTTTTTTTAAATTGCATTAACCTCCTTAATTATTTAAAAGTATTACTGTATAAAATGGTTGTCTTAAACGCAAAAAAAAAAGTATATTAGGAATTTCAATGTAATTTATTCCATTAATACTAATATAAAATAGATAAATTTTAAAAATAACGCATACAACTTTAATAATTTTTTTTTAAATTCTAAGATTGATTTATACTAAAATAGGTATTTTATGTTGATATGTGACATTATTAAAATAAATATCTGCATATAAGTAACTTAATATAATAATAATTATATATTCATATTTTTAATTCAAAAATAATAAAATAATAATTAGGATCAAAATATTTATTAAATGTTGATATAAAATATACTAATTTTTTTGAAGATATAAAGTATCTTACTGAAAATTTGATTAACCCAAAAATATAAATTTTATATATTGTTTTAAATTTGTAGTTTCGATTCTATATATATAAAAGGATAATAAAAATATTTGTCATATAAAATATAGAGATGAAATTTTATTATTTCTTGTTATTTATTTTATTAATTGTTGTTATGGAAATAAATCTATCCAAGTTCTTTTATATTAAAAAATGGAATAATATCATCGAACAATCATAGGAATACAGATAGACCGAGAAAGTGCAGGAGATTGAAATATAATAACAATGATAGCTGTTTTATTTATTATATTTTGTCATGGGAGGGAGAAGAAAAAGGGAAAGCTCAACCTTTTCCTTTCATTGAGAAAAGGACATGGTCCCACTTGCATTATATTTTTTTCCTCTTCTGTTTGCACTTTTTATCACCTTTGCTTATGTCACATTACCTACATTACTCTCACACACACCCCATTTGCATTATTCTTTTCATATCATATCTCATCTACATTTATCCACTTCCATCTTCCTTCTCATTTCTATCTCAATTTCACAAGACAAAACAACACAATTCACCAGTCTTGCCAGAGAAGAAGAGAGAAGAGAGAGACACAAAAAAGTAAGAGAGAGAAAGGGTCTGTTTTTCTCTTCAAAAAGTTGAACTGCTTCTACTTCTGAGCTATTTCTTTGCTTTTAAGTTTTGCATAGAATTAAAAAATATTTTTTTTTCGTAAAAGCAAACCCCTTTTGCATACTGATCTTGTTCTCTTTGTCTTCCTTGCCGTGAGGTAATTTTCATGCCTTCTGCTTTCTCATATTTCGTGTAAACCCACGTTTTTGTTTTGAGTGTGTTTTTAATGTTTTTTTGAAGTTCATGATTTTTGGGCGCGGGACTTTTTCTGGGGGATTAAGGCAATGAACAAAGTTTAGAATTTTAAGAGACTGGTAATTGTTTTGGTACGTTGTGATTGGATTAGATGCGTTATTCTTGTTGTCTTTGATTCTCCTTTTAATTTTATTTTTTTTGTTGATGCGGGTATATGATTCTCTGTTAGTTTAGTTATGTTTCTGGATTTTTGATTATTTTAGTCATGACTTTGTATGATTATTGCTATTATTTTGAACGAATCACTGTCTATTGTATAATTTTGTGCTGAAGGTGAAAAATATTTTCTCCAATTTGTTAGTTTATTTATTTTCTTTCTTATTTTGGTAGAATTTATTTTTCCTCTATATCGCATCAACAAATCCTTGATATAAATCAGACAGTACATACATACATGCTTTCATTGCTTTGATCTGTTTCTTAGTTTTTTGGCGTTGGCTGCAAGTTTTCATAATATTGGTCCAGTAAATTACCTGCCATAGCATCTATACCATTTCTTAGATTCTTCAGAATTGGCAGTAGTATTCCAACTTTTTTTTCCCTTTATATGGCTATGTATCTACTCATTTAAATGTTAAGGGTTTTGTTTCTTGGTGTAGCTGCCGAATTTACGACATTAAAATTCTGTTTTCTTTGTCACATTTTCTGATGACTTTTATATTATGTGACAGAATTCAACTTCTGCATCTTCAGACAGGGAGGGGAACTTCTGTTTTTTCAGAGTATATTGTGGTTTGTTAAGACTGTTTCTAGGTGGAGATTCCTTGATTTATATACTAAGGGGCAAGAGAAAAAAAGTCGAAAGATGGGTTATATATGTGATTTTTGCGGAGACCAGAGATCCATGGTGTATTGCCGCTCTGATGCTGCATGCTTATGTTTGTCTTGTGATCGGAATGTTCATTCTGCTAATGCCCTTTCCAGGCGCCATTCACGCACCCTTTTGTGTGAAAGATGCAATTCACAACCTGCCTTTGTTAGGTGTGTTGAAGAGAAAATTTCGCTGTGTCAGAGTTGTCTTTGGTTGGGTCATGGAGCCTCTACATCATCTTCAACGCATAAGAGACAAGCAATCAGTTGCTACTCTGGCTGCCCTTCAGCGGCGGAACTATCTTCAATATGGTCATTTGTGTTGGATATCCCTGCCATTAGTGAGTCTACATGTGAGCAAGAACTAGGTTTAATGAGTATTAATGAGAACAATAACAAGAGTGTTGGGGTTCCTCCTAAGAACCGGAATGTGTCTGGTTCAGATCAAGTTACTGATCTACCTGCTTTGGACAAGTCTTTGGTTGGTATATCTTTAATGCCTGAGTCAAGCTCTGAATCTCGTATTCTGGACCAGCCAGCTGGGCCTGCCAATGAATGTCTGCCAAAGGTATAGTTGGATGTCATCATCCTTGTCTTCATGGATCACATCACCAACACTACTTTCTAACAACAGCACAGGAAATGAAATTGCAAGTTTGATGGCTTTAAATTTTTTTTTTCCATGTAGAATTCTCAATAGTAATAGCAAAATTATTTGCTGAATCATAAAAACTTTGGTTCAATTCTCGAGTTCTATGGTTGTTTCATTTTCTATACAACTAATAGGTTTGTTTTGGTTTCTTGGTCTTAAGGTATGTTTTGGTTTTGCAAAAACTAATAGGTTTCCTTATTTATTGGTACCTTGAAGTTGAACTGAAAACAAAAGCGACATATTTTTTCAATTTATATATGGTTAGCTTAGATAACTAGATTAGGTTAGATTTAGGGCCATCATATATGGTTTTTTCAATTTATGTCTTGTTTACTGAAATGAGTTAATTCAACTTCAATGTTCTACATTAAAATTCTGATAGTTTCATCACATTCCACTGCTAATATCTCATTTTCAATACGCAGCTGTACTGTCCTGGTACAAAATGCCCTGCATTATGTGATGATGATAATCTGTATGATGATTTTGACATGGATGAAGTGGATCTAAATCTTGAGAACTATGAAGAACTTTTTGGTGTGGCCCTCAGTCATTCTGAAGAGCTATTTGAAAATGGTGGAATTGATAGCTTGTTTGGGACAAAGGACATGTCTGCCGGAGATTCCAATTGTCAGGATGCTATTGCTGCTGAGGTGCTAAACTCTTGCCATCCTTTGTCTGTGATAATCATGGCTTTTTTTACAATTGGGGCATCACATGTTATGTTCTGATACTTTATACGATGTTGTTCTTGTGTATTCACAGTTGTGCATTTGTTTTCTCCTTGCTCATGTGGTTATTTTAACTAGAGCAAATTACACACTCACTCAGATTTTCTCAAATAACACTGTTGTACCATCTAGGAACAAGAGAGTCATAGTCTTATGTTTGTTATGATAATATTCTTAAGGTTCATCACACACTTGAGGTATTTAAAACTCTAGTTTGTCATGGTTTTAAGAATAAAATTGTAATGAATTAGAGTTTCAAAGCGAATAATACTTCAAATATGTAATATATCCTAATAATGTTATCATAACGGCATGAAGTCGAGATATTTTGGTTCCTAATTGGAACAATTGGTATCTCAGTTTTCTTTATTAAGATTATACACAAATCTTCCATTTGTTTTAAAAGCATTATATTATCACCCCATAAATTTTAAAAACATTACACTTAAGGATATTTTTCTAATGGTGAAATGAAATAATAAACAGGGGGTGTAAGTGTAATGTAAGAAACTGTTAATAGATTTCATTATAATTTATTCTTTTAACTGGTATCATAAAGATTTAGAAGTAGGGCTTATACTCAGCATCAGTTCTAATGCGGACTTTTAGGCAAGTTGCATTATAAGTGTCCTTCATTGTTATTTTAAATAACTTTGAAAACTATTATTTGATCAAGAATTTATGGGTGTGTATGATTCTTTTTTTGTTTTTATGTTCTTTAAATCTATTCTGCAAAATGGTTTAAGAGAACTGCCTGTAAGACTGATAGGGGAAACAATTTATCGTGATTTAGAGAAGTTTTTATGGCTTATTTACTTATTCACTCTCCATCATGAGAATGGATTTATTTGTTTGTGCTTAAAAAAAATGGGTATTTTTGGGTGACTCTTACATAAATTTTGGTGTTTTCTATAAATATTTATCTCACTTCTATCCCATTTGCTTTTGATGAGATGCTTCTCAAATAGAGCAATAAATGATTATTTTATTAAAAAACACTTTTTTGTTAAAAAAAAAGTTTAAAAAACAAACCCAATATCTTTACATTCTTCTTCTTCTCTTGATTTCAAAACAGGTTTTATGGAGCTGTTTTTATAATAGACAACATCAAGGAGCCTTATTAAATAACTTATTTTTTCTTCTTGATTGAAAAATAGAAAAGTGTTTTTAAGAACAGCAATCAAACATCCCTTAGGTAGTCTCTGCTTCCTCTGTTTTTCTCCTTAGCCTTTTCTTAATATTCTTTCTTTATAAATATTTCAATAAAATATTTTGTCAGTTTGTATGCTTGTCTATATTGCTTGTTTTGTTTCAACTTTAATCTATTAGAATGTGATTCTTGGTCTACTCTGCTGTTATACGAATGCATTGCATTACACTATACATCTTTGCAAGTTAATGTTGTTGGATAGTGTTGAGCTGCACCATCTTCTGTCTCCTATTGCAAGTCATTATAGTGAATTAAAAAATTAATAAAATGATGTTACTCAAAGTCTTGAGCAACATTGTAGTTGATTAACACCCTTTGAGATAAGTGGAGTGGTGATGGTAATAATGAGTGAAATGAATGGGAAAATGAAGAAAAAAGAGATCTCTTCTGCCTTTCGGTATGAAATTCTCTTGTTCATTTGAGTAATATTGATTCTAAGCTTAAATTTGATGTATAAATCTGGTTCCTTGGACTTCTGAAAACGATGAAAGATTGACAAACGTTGTGGTTATATGCCATTTGTAACTTACGTCTTTAAAAAACTTGGTTTTTATCTCCCCCAATCTTTATAGGAATATGATTTTTCTTGATAAGCTTCATATATGGTGATTAAGCAGTGTAAGTAATGGCTTCATTCTCAGCTAAATTTGCTCTCAATGTTGAAATGTTAGCATTTATGTTATAATATTAGCACATGATCAAGTGTAATTTAATTATGTTATTTGATGGTGATTAGGCTATAAGACAGCAACTAATTACCCACTTGATATATTTGTTAGCTTATAATTACCCCCTTGATTACTCCATTCATTGATCTTATAATCAAGCACTAAATCAAGTATGCAGCTCACTGCCTGCATACAAGATTTGTCTCAATAGTGTTCTTTCAACAGACACAATCTTGTTAACTTAATAATTCTTCTGAAAATTGATCAAATTGATAATTGCAAACTGAGACATTAATCTGTCACCAGTATCAGCTTAGACTTTTAAAAGAGTCGATGGTCATTACATGTCCCCATTTTTCAAAATAAAAGTTGAACTTTACCACATGCTTTAAGCCCAAAGGGATCTTTGGCGAGGGACTTGTTAGAAATAAGAACCATTCTTGAGCCTCCACCTAAAGCTTGTAGGAGAGTTGGTCCTTAACAAAAAAAATCAAAGTGCTGATTACCTAGAATCTGCATAATGTTAAAGAAGTAACAGAAAATATCAGTTTATTTTCATCCCTTGAATCTATGATACTTATTTGAAGAGGCACATCTACCTTGTTAATCTACTTATCCTACATGCATTCAAGTGTTACGAATGAAATGTTCACTGAAGAGCGAGATGTGATGCATTTTAATTTCTTCCTTGGTTTGTGCTGGTTAACATTCCTTTCATGGCATACTTATTTTCAGATCTAACTTTATGTCCAGGGATCATCGGTTGGACTGATCAATACAATACAACCGGCTTGCAGCAATGCAGCATCAGCCGATTCCATTTTGAGTACTAAAACCGAACCGATTCTTTGTTTTACTGGGAGGCAAACACAATCAAACCTTTCTTTTTCTGGCATTACCGGGGAGAGTAGTGCTGCAGACTATCAAGACTGTGGGGCTTCTTCCATGCTTCTCATGGGGGAACCTCCTTGGTTTGCTCCTTGTCCTGAGAATTCCCTACAATCTGCCAACCGCAGCAATGCTGTCTTGCGTTACAAGGAAAAGAAGAAGGCAAGAAAGTAAGTGATTTTTGTTTTTGTTTTCCATATAAGGTGATCAAGATTGGTTTAGAACATTGGCAGCTGAATTTGTTTCAGGGTCTGTTTGGGCAAGTTTCTTTACATAAGCTTTTGTCAGAAAAGAAAAACTGTAAATAGTTTCTCCATGAACTAAAATTAACTTCATATAGCTTTTTTGATTTTTTATTTCAACTCATACACATAAACTAATTTTAACTTTTGAAAAAGTAAAATCCATTTTTTTCTTAGAATAGGACTTATTTCAAGATTCCAAACTCAGTTGTTTAATCATTCTTTGTTGTTATCTCATTAGGTTCGACAAACAAGTACGGTATGCCTCTCGCAAGGCAAGGGCAGATGTCAGAAGGCGTGTGAAAGGGCGGTTTGTCAAAGCCGGTGACGTCTATGATTATGACCCTTTGAGCGCGACCAGAAGCTGCTGAGAGTACAACTTTTAACCATGTTTTATAAAAGGAACCAGTCATATAGTTGCAAAAGAAAAACAGTTTCCTGAAAAAATGGATGAAATTTGATGCATTCTTTGTCCCTGCAATGACAAGCTGTCTGATTTTATCACAGGAGGGGGGGGGGGGCCTTGATGTTCTTCAAGGAGGAAAAAGGCTGTGTTCTTCAACCATGTAAGCTCGATCAGGAGCTCACTCTTTGTCCTTCCCTGTGAAGGATATTCCTACTTGTGATCTTATCACCAAGTGCCCTCTTCAGGCAATGTGTTAATTAAGCTTGGCAATTTCTGCTGCATAATTCTTTTCCAAAGCTTTCTAATCTTAATTTCTTTGGCCTTAACTATACTTGAATGTTTGTGATGTGATCTTGTAAACTTGCCTCTGCTATAGTCACATGTAGAAGTGTCTGAGATGGCATCATAAGTGGCTCAATTTAACAGTTCTAGATAAACAAACTAGAAAGATTGTATATTGTAATATTTGGCCTCTTGGCTTTGCATGTATAGCACACAATCTAGAGGTATAATTTTTGCCAACTCTTTGAATGTAATTATTAGATAAAGTTGTAAATTCAATGTCCCATGTATAGAATAGGATACCATGCATGTTGATGGAAGTCTATATTATACTGGACATGTACCAATGCAAGTTTTGTTTGTGACTTGGTATTTTATTTGATAAACTTCAATTGTACGATCCATTTACCTTAATTTTAAAGGTATGTTTCAACATTTTTTTCTATTAGAACTTCTAGGATAGAAGAAAGAAAACAGAATTGGAATTCGTTTTTTTTTAATTAAAATAATTTATGCATAAATTAATTTGGAAAGTTTTTTTTAACTTGAATATAAACTCATTTTTAATTTATAGAGATTTTTTTTAGTTTTTATTCTAACTGATTTATCTTAAAAGTGTTTAAGAAATTCATCTAAGATGATTCTAAATGACAATTGAATTTTTTAAAGTAGTAACTTGTGTTATTTCTATTGAACAAAAATATTGTAATTTTCTAACTTATTGTGCTCTATAAAAGTCACCAAGGTCGTGCGCCTAGCATCTCTTTGTTTTGGTAAAAACAAAGGTGTGAGAGAGGAAAATAAGATGAAAATAATAGGGATGTTTTCTTGTACTTTTCATTTTATTGTGTTTTTAATATGTTTTTAAATATTTATGAAAAGAAAATAAGAAAAACAAAAGATTTTTTTTTCAGTTTTTTTTTTAAATATCTAAAATAAAAAAAAGATAAATTAAAACGAAGATAATATTTTTTAATTTAAAGTATAAGTAATAGTCTTTTAATGTTATATATACATTTCTTATAGTGATATGTTTTATATATATATATATATATATATATATATATATATATTTATGGAAAAACATATTTATTATTATTATTATTATTATTATATTTTATATATATTTAGTATATTTTTTAATTAATTATTAATTTTTAATATACTTTTCATAAAAAAGAAATAAATATTTATATATCTAAATTTTTATTTAAATTGAATAATTTAATTAATTATTTACTCATTTTTTAGGAATGATAAATTAAAGAAATATGTTTAGTGAAAGAGGATTTTCGTTTAGCTTATCATTATGAGAGAGTAAGTGTAGTTCCTCAAGCATCTTTGAGCAAATAAAATATGTTGTTGAGCAAAAACATTCTTCTTTGAGTAACTAACTTCATCAAGCGAATCAAAGAACAATTCAAGTTTTAATTGATATAATTATATATTTATGAGCTTTTGAACGAGCCTGCATGCTTTGTACAAATTTGTTGTTGTATAAATAGGTTATAGAAGGCAAAAAAAGAAGAAGAAGAAGTTAAGTTTCATTTTTTGAATTTCAAGTCTTAGAACTAGTTTTCTCTATACTTTTGTAATACTTAGCTTCAAAATCCGATTGTTGTATGAATAATTATTTCAAGTTTATCAATTCAAGATATTTTGGATCAAATTTATCTTCTCTTTCTTTACTTTTTCCATTTAAGTTTCATTTTACACATTTTATTTCCACTTCTACTTGTTTTTCTTAATCTTTTTTCAGTTTTCTATACTTTAATCATGTTTTAATTCATTTTAAGTGCTGATTTATCAATTAAAACTTATTTTTTATAGTTTAGATTTGGTTCTTAACGATTATAATCCATTACCATCAATATAATTTAGGTTATTTGATTGAATATATCTTTCACATCATAATTCAATTTTAGGTTTCGGTAATTTTTTGATTTAGGAATTGAATTGTGTTTACTTACTTTAATTGGATCGTATTATTTAGAACGATTGTAAATTTATTTTTTATGATTGCAAGACAAATTTTAGAAATAGATGATAATCATAAGAACGAGTTTGTGATTGGAGAATCTTCATATAATTTTTCTTAATTATTCTTCACTGTTTTCATTCTAATTCTTGAATTCAATTTTGTTTCTCACTGTTAATTGCATGTAACATGTTTCTTAAGTGTTTTACAACATTTAATTGCTATGTAGATCTTAGTTTTAATACATTTCTTTATGGTTTTCAATTTACATGTTTTTCTAGATTAGGTTTACAAACTTTTCTTTTAAAATTTAATATACTTTATAACTTTTCTTGATTTATTTCATAGTTTAGGTTTATGATGGTTCATTATAAGCTTTGATTTACCATATTATATAGGATAGTTTATTTTTTTTATAAGAAACAAATTCATTGTTTTCCTTTATGATTTCTAGTACCTTAAACTCTAAAACCTCTATTTGTTACTATTGAAAAATTAAAGTTAAAACAACATTGATTAATTTTTCTCGAGTACACGACCTGAATTAATCCTAACACCGTATTATTTAATTGTAATTTTTTTAAAACATCTAAGTGACAAAATGATAATAATAATTATTATAAATTATTATATTTTAAATTTTTTAAAACAACTAAATAGGTAATATCCATGAAATCATTTAATAGACTTTTAAATAATACATGTACTATATATATATATCATCATCATCATCATATCCTTAAATTAAAAATAGACCAAGATAAAAAATTTAACTTCGTTGAATAAGATTTTTGTAAGTAATTATTTTTCCAAAACACCTAATTAATGAATTTTAAATCTAAAAAATAATAATTTTATTTGATCATAAGAATAAAGGGATATCATAGTCACAAAATAAATTTTTTCAAAAGGAAAAAAAAATTATATCTCAATTTAATTAAAGTGAATTATGGAAATAGAGTATTGAATTTTTTGACTTTTTTTCATAAATAATACTATTTTTAAAAATATTTCCCAAAATAGCACATTTGGAACATTATTTACACAACTAGCACTTTTTACTGTTCACGTATTAAAATAATCGATTATTTTATATTATGATCGATTATTTCGCACAATCAACTCTCGCTCAAGCGAAGAAACCCTTCGCTTGAGCGAGGATATCTGTAACAAAGGGGTAATCTCGGGTCAATTCTCGCTCAAGCGAAGAAACCCTTCGCTTGAGCGAGGAAATCTGTAACAAAGGGGTAATCTCCGGTCAATTCTCGCTCAAGCGACGGGTATCTTCGCTTGAGCGAGAAGTGATTAAAATATGTGGTGACCCAAGTTGCGTTATGTGGCTAACTGCGTTGGATGCTTAGCCTGTGGTCAATTCTCGCTCAAGCGATGAGTTACTTCGCTCAAGCGAGAATTGATTGGGTAACTGCGTTGGACCGTGGTCAAGCTCGCTCAAGCGAGACATACATCGCTTGAGCGAAGAAATTTATAATCGATTATAATTTGAACTAATCGATCATAATTTTAAAATAATCGAATATACAAAATTATGATCGATTATTTCACTCTCGCTCAAGCGAAGAAACTTCGCTTAAGCGAGAAGACCTGTAACAAATGGGTAATCTTGGGTCAATTCTCGCTCAAGCGACGGGTACTTTCGCTTAAGCAAGAAGTGATTGAAATATGTGGTGACCCAAGTTGCATTATGTGGTTAACTGCGTTGGACGTTTAGCTTGTGGTCAATTCTCGCTCAAGCTTCCAGATACCCATAATATGTAAAGAAACAAAGAAAAGAAACTAGAACAATCAAACCCAGATTATGCGGCTCCTGCAGAATGAGTTTCTTCAAAACTTTTCACAAAACTTTCTAAGTTATTTTAACTGATAACAACAAGTTTTAATCGATTAAAACAGTTAGCAAAAAGTTCCTTAAATAACCTTTGACTTCATCAAACCCACAAGATCTTTGTTTTATCAAATGATTCAATAAGATCTTCATCACTTTCAATTAATTGAAAAACTCCTAAGTTTCATACATTGAGACATTTCTTAACTAACACAATCTAATGATGCGAAGTAGATGCACGTGCAACATTGGGACATGTTCTTCTGCTATGACCAGGGGTATGGCAATATGAACATTTTTTAATCCTACTTTGATTTTCTGTAATGTCCATCTCAGTTCTTATACGACTTGATTTTGGTCGGCCCTTTGAAGTTCTTTTCATTTCTGGATTTGCACACAAAGTAGGTCCTGTGTATGTTGGCCAATATTTTTCATTTCCCAATAAACCAAATTGTGTTCCGTATACCTTTGAAACTTGTTGTAAGGTATACACTGAATTAATATAGTTGTTGAAGTCATGGTGTGCATGCTTGCATGCAGCAAGAACATGTGAACAAGACATGTGAAATTTTTGGAATTTCCCACAGTCACACCATAACTCATCAAGGTGAACTACAAACTTCCCTTCTGGTCGAACTTCACGCGAGTTTTGTGTTTCTTCTACTACAAATTTTGTGGTAGACCTGTCAAAAGTTATGACCCTATGCGTGTTTGCCTGTGTTTGTGCTTCCTCTAAATTTGTGACCAAAATTTCAGAGTATACATGACCAGCATTGATCATGGCATCTATCTGCCTCCCTCTTTCAATGAAAAATTTGTTGCAGCGGGTGTACGTTGCGTTGACCATGGAGCAAATAGGTAG